TGGGAAGCAGCCAGGGACACTGCACTCCATGCCTTGGCCACTGTTCATTAAAAACTGTCCATTTTACACCTGAGGCATTGCCTGGCTGAACATTAAAGTTATGCTGATGGAATAGTACAAACCAGATTTTCCTAAATGTTGCCATATCTTAATTCCTTATTTGTCTTCAACAAAATGATGTGCTGTTGCATGGCTCCCCTTTAACGTCTGTGCACTGAGTTATTAAATAAATGATTGTGTGCAATGGCAGTGGCCCATGACACACAGCTATTTCATACTCACAATGCAAATTCAGCTGGATGGATGAAGCTGTCACACTGCATCCTCGGTAGGATATTTGTTAGCCTCATTTTGCTGCTGTCACAGGCTATATATGTTACTCTTCCCTACTCTCATGCCAAGCAAGAGTTCACAACTCACTGCTGGAAAAGCTAAGTGTGGAAAGCAGTAGAAAATGAATTCTCAGTTTCTAGATATGGCTTTTGAAAGAAAACAAGAGAATTTGTATTACAATGTAGAGAAAATGTAGATCCAAAATCAAACATGCTCAAGAAGCACAAGTGTCTCACACTAGATTTTGAAGCTGAATATCAAAATGCGTCTGCAATTCTGTGATGGAGTTCTGAATATCATCTGTTCTGGTGCATCTCCAATATATACCAATAGTGGATATAATTAGCAGATGAAGGATACAGGAATGAGTACTTACCCTTCTAACTGATATCAAAAATGGAAGATGAGTGAAGCCAAGGAGGGGCTAATGTGACTGAGCACCTCCATGACACTGCCACCAAACAGGCCCCCACTCTAGCACCATGCAGCACAGAGAACCACCTGCTATTCAGTCTGATGCTGGGCATTCCGTCAGTGCTATTAAACCCAGTACTGAGCTTTGAGGCACGTAGTTGCATGTTCAAAACAGCAGCAACACAACCAAAGCCACTTAAGGAATGCTACTGGAAGCTGGCAGCTTTTAAACAAGACAACAATGTGGATAGGACTTGAGGACTTCTTAGAGAAGCCAGCATTAGTCATTGTATTCCTCATGGTGATCCAATCCTCCCAAAATAACTGCTTTTGTGCATTCAACTTCCCGCAGTCTCACCCAGTAAGTAGTGCCCTAATGATCTACATGCAGCCACACACAACCACACCACCATGTACACACATACACACATGCATATACAGATTCTAAAAGCCAAAATAACTTTGGCACAACACGAAGAGGTGGTTGTCAACAAAAACAGATGGCCAAAGAATTGGGCAAACACTCAGAGTTCCAGAAATGAAGCTTTTGCTTTCATTCTAAATGCCACACTTTCTTACCCAGCTCCAGACAAGAGGATACATGAAGCCAGTCAAAAGCTAGCTTCCTGCCAGGCTTCTCTGTTTTCATGACAAAATTAAGAGTCCACAGATGGAATAACTCAAAGCTAATCTTTACACAGGTTGGTTTCCCCTCTCTCCCTCCTCCCCATGATTCCAAACAACAAGAATAACATATTGTAGGAAATTGAAGCAACAAGTACAAGGAAGGGGGAGTAAAGTTGCAGTGTGAGGTCATCTTGTTGCTATGACTTCAGTATGAAGAGACCTGTGTTTATTTCAAGAAATTATTTCTTTTACACTGTGACCCAGGAAGCCTGTTTTAGCTAAAAGCCTGACAATATTAGGCTCCACCGTTCCAAGTTCTTGATCTTTTTTCCTCCCATAGACTGAAGACAACTATCTTAATCTTGCTCTGGCCAGTGATCAAACTCCCACCAAACTTAAATCAGCATAAGCTTTCTCTCTTACTGTCACTGCTCCTTCTCTCCCACCAGTCCATGGAATCAAGCACAGCCCAGTGGAAAGCAGACTGAGTAGAATCCTGCCTAGCAGCACAGTAAATCACAAGTATTTGACTTTAAAGCACTGAACATCCCTCCAAAACTGTTCCTACAGGGAGCCAAGCTCAAAGAAGGAAAACAAATACAGTATTAAAAGAAAATATGGGTTTATCTTTAATTCTTAAAGAAGTAAAGTTTAGAATTATCCCAGCAGCACATTGAATTGTCTGTCATTTGTGTTCAAATGAGCACTCCCAAGAAGTTGCCAAGAACAGAAGCATTCGGATACCCAAATAGTATTAACAGTTAACAGCTCAAAGACCTGTCATTTGCAGCATCACTGCCCTGTCATCTATTACTTAAACCAGAAGAACAGAACTGGGCTACAGCACATCTAAAAACCTTTATAGTACAAGGTGAAAACATGGGTTTGTCAGGACATAGAAAAAAAAAGAAATGTTTTAAAGGATGTGTAAAAACACCCAAACTTCTTTTATGAAGATCTTCCTGGCTCTTACCATTGCCTTCATCCCATTTTTTTGTTGCTCGCATTTGCAAAAGTGAAATTCCATCTACCACACCCAAACCTCAGTGCAGTTTTGATTTTTAAATCACACGTGTATCCTGCATATAGCTGCTAAAGGAGCCTTACACAGTATTACACTATTGGAATAAACACTTTATTTTTACTTTATTAAGCATATATAAAAAGTAGTAAGCTATTTTAAGCATCACCTACCAGCTAGATAATTCCTAATCTACGTTTTACAGCACTACCTCTTACATTGCTGCACTGGGGAGGACAAGCACCGATGTTCCAATGATTATTAGGGCCTACGTAACTTTTTGTAGCTTGTATTTAAAAAGTAGTATTCCCAGTTTAACTTACACAGGATTTTACAGTGCTGAACTCTGACGCCTCTGTTCAACAGTCTCTATAAAAGCCACCTGGCTCCAGCACATTACAGAGTTTTCACACAGCACCTCTACAGGGCAAAGACAGTTTCTCCACATACATACATTAACTGTACAACAAGGATTTACTCATCATGTAACTGAGCTAAGTGCTCATTAGCCACAGCAAATGGTACACAGGGCCAAGGTTATCTGCCTGAGACTGACCTTTCTGAATATCATGCCTCCAAAATAAACTGCACCATCTACAGTGTTTGATGTTCTGGTTAATTGGAACCTCTTTTTCTTACGTTTTGTCAAATGCGGTAAATGTCACTGCAAATTTTAAGTGACAAGTGCTTGGAAGACATTTAATTTCCCAGTGGCATGTGACAAACTAAAGCACTGTTTGCATTATTATTGTTAGAGCTGATCTCAAAGGTCCGAGGATGTGTAACGTAACGAGGATGTGTGGAATGTTCATTTGCACATGAGCTTCTGCCCTCTGACCTCAGCAGTAGCTTCATTTATGAAGATGTGTAACGGGGTGACTGCAAAATTAGCTGCGTAGAGCAATAAAGGCAAAAGCAGTGAGCTGGAAACTCATGACCAACAGCAGAGTCTGCTCCAGCCTGGTTGCTTTACCTCAAAGAGCCCAGGCCAGGTAAAACCTCTCAAGCCAAAGCAACCTGTGTCAACCCTGCGAGCTGAACAGAAACCCACATGCTAGCAGGATGGGGTATATTCACATACAGCTCATAGTTTTGATCCCTACCTTTCGCTCCCCCATCTAAGTAAATTTAGATGTAGGAGGACTGAATCCTGTCCTACAGAAAAATAACTGCAGATCTTGACATGGATCAGGATCTTCATTCTTACCCTGAATCTCACAACTGGGGTCTCTAGGAGCCTCTAGAGCATCTACAATCTAGAGCTTCTGAAGTACTGTATTGAGAATTTCTTGAAGTAAAAACTCTCTTTTCGATCTTGGACTAAGAGTTTATCTCCTTCCTGACACACTATACTTACCACAGTCCAGTAGACTACAACAGTAATTAAAAAAATAACCAAAGGAAAATGTATCTCAACAGAGATGACATTTAGACAACCTGTTTTGGTTTTGTTTTTGTTTTTTGCTACTTTATTATTTTCCACACTCTGTTACCTCTGCACAACCCTGTTCTGTTTCCTCTTTAAGCTTTCCATAATTTAATAGACATAGTCTCTTTAAGTATACATAGTTATTTACAGCAGCATACACTCAAATGTCAAAAGGTAAGTTTTAGCATTAGCTGACTGTTCTTAACCCTTGTCTTAAACACCAGAGCATGAGACTGAAAAGTCCTTAATTGGGGTAAGCATTACTTAGCAACAACTGAAAACATGGGTGTGTTATCAACATTGTTCTCAGGCTAAAGTTGAAAACACAGCACTGCACTAGGTACTAAGAAGGAAAAAAATAACTGTTACAGCCGAACCCAGGACAGTAAGAAATAACATAGAGACTGACAGCACAACAGCAGCATTCTTGTCTTACACCTGAGGCAACTCTCCTTCCTCAGCTGAGCACAGAGCTTACTTTGCCACCTAGATTCCTGACCTTAGCACCCTGCAGTCAGTACCACAAAGCCACAGGCTGTCATTTAACAATGCATTAGCATTTCACCAATTCAGAAGAAACCTTATGATACATCCATTTCGTGATGAACACATCTGCCCCCCCTCTCCACAACCTCCCCCCAGACCAAGACCACAGATTTCTCTGATTTCTTTCAAAAACCAGTAAAATTTAGCTAAGTCTTTAAGAAGCAATGGATGCATTTTGTAAGCATTCAGGGCTCTTTTAGTCTTAAATCATCTCCACAGTAATTTTTTCCAGAAGAACATCTGCTGTGGCTCACACCAAAGAACCACCTAGCCCAGCATGCTGTCACAGAGGCCAGAAGCAGACACCTTGTAAAGGTACAGGAATAAAGCAGGCACATGGGGACACTTACTCAGAACATGCTCCCAGCCCTTAAGAACTTGTAACTCTGTGACTTCTTGAGCTCAGGATGGCTTTTTTGAGTTTAACAACTCCCCGTGGGTTTCTCTTCCAAGCACTCATACAGACATCTCTCATGTGTGACAAGCCATCACTCACTCAATCAAACCTATCAGCAAACCTGTGTTTTGGTCACTGGAGACCTCTATAGCTGCCCCTCCCTGCTCAGCCACACCTTCCATCTCCAACACATAAAGTCACCTCTGTATATCAATGCAGACAGTTTGTCTAAAGATCCTCTGCCATTCAAACAAAGGTCCCTGTCCCCTCAACACAAAAAGATGGACAGCAGACATAGGACAGAGAAACCCTCATCCTTAGGCACAGTTCTACATTTGGAAGCCACTGTGGCATTGGAAGATGCTGGCCAGACATTGGTAAGGCAGCTACCCTGGATGGGTCCCACCTTCATCTTCTCACAGTAATCCTGAGGTCCTCACCCAAGGATCTGCTGTCAGCACAGTGTTTAAGGTACATGGTGTGACTAAAGGCACCACTGGGACTCTTGTCCTTGGCCTGTGTTCAGAAAGGACACCAAATTGCACTTACCCTGGTGAAGATTCAGCCTGTGCCTTGGAAGAGCTGAAAATATGTTTTCCCTTTGGTGGTGGCCTACAGGTCATAAATTATTATTTTTCTATAACCATTCTGTTACCCTCTTTTGCAGAGCCTCAGATCCCTCAACTGGGAGCATCCCACATGGAACCACTGGTAGTAGACACGAGTCTAAACCAAAGCAGACACAACATTATCAAGAGAAACCCCAAGAGAGCTATTCCCTTCATTGCTGCATTTATAGCTCCATTTAGAGCATAGAGAAACCCAAGTTTCAGTCCCATTCCTGCTACCCAGTGGGGAGAGCCCCTCACCTAATCAAATGGAGCCTGCAGCCCTCCTTGACTGTGTACATAGGAAGAGTGATTAGTTCTTCATTTCTTTCTGTGCAAAAGTGGCATCCCCGAGCAGGGATTCTTACAGAATCGAAGTCCCAGCACTATGGATTCCAAGCACTCTGACTTTGATGCTGTATATCGTCTCCTGAAACAAGCATACCCTCTTCAGGAGTACCCCTTCCTCCCATCCTGCTCTGATCAATCCTAAAATTATTTCTGACAAACCTCCTTCCTATTCCTGTCCTCATAACTTCCTCCATCTCTCTCCACAGAGTGATGCTGTGTCTTAAGAATTTAATTCCTGTAGGAGCTCTCTGGAGCCAAGCATCTTTATTGCTCTGCAAGAAGATAAAAAGCAAAAAGCAAGGAAAGAGGAGAGGTGGAAAGTACTTATATATCCTCACTGCAAGGTCAGCCACTAATATGCCATGAAACTATTAACAAAGAAACTTAAATTTAACATGTCCCTTGGGGGAGATCATGTACATTGCTTATACTCTGTCTCCTTTCTTGATCCATCCCTTCATCTCTGTGCTGACTCCTGACAGAACAGACCTACTGTGATAGGTCTGAGAAAGCCTGCCCAACTGAGAATGCTATATGGGAATTCAGCAAACGTCTGATCAACACCCCACTGACTCTTCCCCTTTCTCCTTTGCTCCGTCTCCATTTGGATCTGGATTCCATCTCTACCCTATTCAGTAGGTGACCTGCATTCATTGCATCCCTTCTCTAGGCAGCTTCTTACATTATTCTAGGCACTCAGAGGCTGGTACCTTTCCTTTTCTACAGAAAATGAGGACCACAAACACAGTGCTTCCAGTTGTAAAGACTGCTCAGACTGCAGCGAGCCTTGGTGCCTAAGCACCAGGATCAGCTACCTGGCATTTCAACTACCTGCTTCCTCCATTCAGACTCCATAGAGGCTCCGCCACACAACTTGCCTTGAACTCCCATTTCTTCCACACCCAATAGCACAATGCCTGGGCTCTGACTGCTGGACATGCAAGCAACAGACAGGAAAACACTAATTCATTCCATAGACTCCCTCTTTCACATACTGTCCTGGGTTCAGCAGTAGCAGTCATGTTTCTCCTTCATGGTAGCTGGTGCAGTGCTGTGTTTTGACTTCCAGCCTGGGAACAGTGCTGGTGATACCGATGTTTTCCGTTGTTGCTAAGTGATGTTCACCCTGACCAAGGACTTTGTGAGCCTCATGCTCTGCCAGGGAGGAGGGGAAGCCGTGAGGAAGCAGAGACAAGGCGCCTGACCCAGGCTAGCCAAAGAGGTATTCCATACCACAGCACGTCATGCCCAGGAGGTAACTGGGAGTTAGTTAGCCTGAAGGGCTGGGACTGCAGGGTTGGAGGAGGTATGGGTCGGTGCTTGGTCGGGCTGGGGGGGGCGAGTTATTGGTCAGCTGGTGGTGAGATGTTGTATTCTCTTCCCTTGTTATTTCCTTTATCATTGTTATTATTGGTGGTAGCAGTAGTGATTTGTGTTATACCTTAGTTACTAAACTGTTCTTATCTCAGCCCGTGGGAGTTGCATTCTTTTCAATTCTCTGCCTGGTTTTAAACCATGACACATACAAGTTGGCAACAATCTCCTCAGTCACATGTATACCAGCAGGTTTTTGCTATAGCAGGGCAACTCTTTTACTCCCTTACTAAGCCACCTTACAGAACAAAATCCTGCACATCTCTAGCAATTGTGTTTACTCAGACATAATTTATTTTAAGCCTGCCCTTTTTCCATTCTGCCTCAGGTCTAGATCAAGTCAAGTAGAGCAACCCTAACCAGAAGCAAGAGCTCTCTAAAACCTCTATTAGCCAAGTGGAGGCTTTTGAACAACTGAGAGAAAGCCTCTCTAATGAGAGCTTTCCTTCCAGCTCTTTGATGAAGAGCAGTGGCCAGAACAGCAAAAGTGACAGAAATGCTCTTACATTTAGCCTGTGTAGCCAGCCAAAGCAACCGCCATTGAACTGCATGTTACATGCTTGCTGCATGATGCAAGTAAGACAGAAACCTTGGAATGGGAAGGCAGAACTCTGCACCACAGTGCTGCCCATTTTTTACAGCAGTTACCCCCGAAATGTATGTATAGTCTACAGAACATTGTGGCCAGAGTTTCTGGCTTTGAGGTCTGTATCACAGATGGTTTATCTGAAATAAAATGGTAGCAGGATAGAACTGCACACGTTTCCTTTGTTAACAGGAGCAAAGAAAGGAAGGGAAAAGATGTACACAGAGTAATGAAAATATAGCAATAGGAGCAACCGCAAATAAAATACAACTCTGGGTGAAAGCTGAGGTCATTACCATGTACTTAACGTTAAGGATTTTTAGGAGTCAGCATAACGGGCAGGAGGAGAAGGGTTTACACTGTGTGGTTTCTGAGATCAGCAAGTGGGAGGTTCCTTTATACCAAAAAACATCATAAAATCACAGAATGGTTTGGATTGGAAAGGACCTTAAAATCATCCAGTTCCAACCTTCTGCCATGGGCAGGGACGCCTCTCACTAGACCATGTCTCCCAAGGCTCTGTCCAGCCTGGCCTTGAACATTGCTAGGGATGGAGCATTCACCACTTCCTGGGTTAACCTGTGCCAGTGCCTCACCACTCTCACAGGAAAGAACTTCTTTGGTCACAACAGCACTCTTCTGGAAGAGACAAGTGGTAGAAGCCTCGGATCCTTAGAATCTCAAAGAAGCTCTTGGAATTTACACACCCTACTGCTATGGTAAATGCAGCATCTGACACCCCTTCTGAGCTACAACAGTCAGTGGTGTATACTGGATACCTAGCCACCTCTGCTTTAAATCTCTACTGACTTCAAGCATAAAAGGCATTACTTCTCAGTAGTGTTAGCTTTACCTAACGGAGCTGAATCCTTTGTGGCTATCCACAGGTTCAAATAATCTACAGAATTTTGACAGATTCTGTAACTTACTAAGAACTTTGCAAACTAACAACACACTTCAAACAAAATGTGATCTTAGGACACAGGAAGGCTCTGCTCCCAAGTCTGTCACCAACTTGTGTGGACCTGCTAGAACACAGCCAAGTCACATTCAGTTATTTTCCTTGGGGAGACTTCATAGCAGATTCCAGTACTTAAAGGGGACCTATAAGAAATCTGGAGAGGGACTTTTTACCAAAGATTGTAGTGACAGGAGAAGTGGGAATGGCTTTAAACTGACAGAGGGAAGATTTAGATATTAGGAAAAAATTCGTCACTATGAGTGTGGTGAGACACTGGAGCAGGTTGAATTCTCCCAGACTTGAGCATAGCACATCCAGCAAGCATTACCACTTACAGCACATACATCCTACTGAACCCAAACTCAAATACCTCACTTAGCAGAGATACTAAAAATTTAATTATTCAAGGAAAATTATTCAAGGAAATAACTTCCTTTTTGACAAAGCTTCTGGAAGCCAAAGTTCACTTTAACCAATGTAAGGCATTAGATTCATCCATAATGTTCTGCAGACATGCACTGCTTCACCCCACTCTGAAAGCTGTGCTGTGTTCAATAGCTAGTGCTGGAACACGATTAGTTAGACAAGTTGAAACAAGCGCTAAATACTCACCGTGAACAGCCACTTCTGTCTTCTCCAAACCGTCTACAGTCAGAGGGTTAATGTGTACTCTCTGAACCTATAAAAATGGACTTGAATATAAGATTTTGCTGCCTTCCTGCTGTCAGCTAGGATAATTTTTTAAGTCATCTGCTGTTGTATGTTACACATAATTGAAAAAATTATTTTGGATAGACATTACAATGCTCCAGTGACATTTCTTTCACTTGAACAGCATTATCTGTAACAACATTCATCTTCCCCATGATTTGGAACTGTAGATATTGTTCTAACCAAACAAATGCCCAGCAGTGGACAGTTAGCCTTGCCTTTATTTTCTCCACCAAGGTTGCCCAAAGAAGTAGGAAATGTAGTAAATGCTCCATCCCTGGTAGTGTTCAAGGCCATGGTCTAGGGTGAGGTATTCCTACCCATGGCATGACACTTGGAAGTAGATGATCTTAAGGTCCTTTCCAACTCAAACCACTCTATGATTCTATCAAACATTTCTCAGGGAAGTAGAACTTCCCTCTGTACTAGGCTCTTACATCTTTCCTACCACTAGTTTACGTATGTAAAAAGATCCATCAGCTATTTCTTCCACTGAGAGAACAGCCACCTCATGTTTTCCTGAAATTATCATACAGATTGCTTAGAGTGAGTAATACCATTTTCCCTATTTAGAAGTCAACAGATGTTTAATACTGCATGTTCTGTTTAGCCTGATTTGTGTCATGCTCCAGGTGTCAAAACCAAGAGACTAGCCACAGGAATAGCTGATGCTCCTGTATTGGTACCACAGGACACCCAACAGCCACACATTGCAGCAAGTTGAGACATCAACAATGAGGTATATTCTAATTTCCAGCTAGGTGCTCTTGTGGAAACCAAGGCAACACAGGAGGGCTGAAATCCAAAACTTTGTTTTCCTTGTTAAGTTCTAGCTAGCTTGTCTGCACAAGAACCTAGGCAAGGCCAGCTAACTGAAAAGCAGCCCAACAAGAGGGATAACACTGTAAAACACACTCGACCCCCCCACCCTCCAGTTTGTTCTGGAATCCCAGTGAACTGGCACCTCCTCACACATCTAAACCAAAGCTGCAGAACAGACTAGTCAAATGTCAATCCTTGAGCAGAGTCAGTGTAAAGCTGATGAGAGTAACCTACTTTATTACACATGAAATCAAACTCCTCTTTTCCTGGCCTAAATATTTATGACTGAAGACACACAATAAAATTATTAACCCAGAGATACCAGAGGTGGTTAACCCAAGTCTAAGCCCTTGGAAGAAGACTCCCTGACATACAGCTACCAGACCAGTTTGGAGCAATGTAAACATCTCTGTGGGTCCATATGGCAAAG